AAAGGAAGGATAAGATGGTCATCAACGTTTTTATGTGAACAAATAAATTTATAGATTCTCACCCATATTGCTAGAAATTTGAAAATACTTTGTCAAACCAGTTTTCTTACCCAATTAAATCAAACTAAACTCTAAATTTTCATTGGGATAATCATATTTCTAAGGATTATTTTAAAATCAAAAAGAGTTTAAAAGCTCTAAAAAATGGATTTCCAAAAAGGTTTTCGTCAAACAATAAGGGCCTATTTATTTTATTAAGCATTATTTATCACGAGAGAATTCTCGAAATGCCAAGGCATATTGCATTACTGAGATTGTGGATTTATTCTATGACAAATGCATACTTGCTCCCTCGCCTTATGCGATTAGCGGGAGAAGCAGAGCCCCTTTTCGGAGATAGAATTTCCAATTCGTCACTTAAGCGCAATCCCAATAAAATTTAGACCATTATAATTTTTTTTATATAGACCCTTATATTTAAAAAAAAACTTTATGAGAAATGACATTTTTAAAGAGGCTATTTAAAACTTGATTGATCTAAAAAAAACTTAGAAAATACTAATGTATCCCAAATGATTTTAGAAATCGTTTGAATAAAAAATTAGGGACAAGAATAAAAGTTTGACAAAATATTTAAAAATTCCCAGTTTTTATGGGTGATAACTAAAAACTTAATTATTTAAACAAAAGAGTTGATGACCATACTTATAAAATCTTTACCTACAAATATGCAAACCAAACAATTCTAACCCAGAATATTTCAACCAATAATTCACATTCTCCTCACACTTGAACGGAACCGCGTCCTCGCGGCAAAAAAAGTGTTTCAGAGTAGAGTTTTTGGTTGAAATACCAAGGATATGATGACTAAGATGGTTGCATATGTAACATATTCAAAATGATGATTGAAATAGTAAATAAGCATAACCATAAAAGTTTACCAGGAGAAGTCAAACAGGAATCCAAATAAACCAGTCAAGTCATCAATTCCAGCTCAAATAAGATAAAAAAGTTCTGAAGAAAGTAGGAGATCACTGCGGAGGCCGAGAGGTGGAGGGATCGTCATCTCTGGGCTGCTGCTGACGCGGAGGGAGGTTTGTCGGGTTTTCGAAACCCAATGCCTCACGTATCCTGTCTAAACCATGCACCTGCTGCTGGAGTGCCGCAACGGACTGCATAAGTGTGTTCTGGTTCTGTAAGAGCTGCTGGGCCCATGCCGGTGCTACCTCCGTCTGAGCACGAGCCAACTGTGCTCTGGTAGGTCGTCGACGAGGAAGGCGCTGAGACGATCTCTCTGACTGACCGGATGACTCTCCAATCTCATGTGAAGTGCGGCCAGTAGAGGCCGTAGTGCTCTCGGAAGAGCTAGGAAAGAGTCTCCGGTGGATGTGAGCATTCCGGAGCATGCCGACATCTAAATCCCTCATCAACTGCACAGGCTGTGGGATGGGTGCGTCCCCCACGAGGGAGCGAAAGAGCAAAGTAATCACAAACCCACAAACCAAGTGCGTTCTACACCCGTAGGACTGGGAGTATAAGAATCTGGCCAGGTACACAGCCACGTTCGCCGGCTGGCGGTCGTGCAAGCTCCAGAAGACAAACATATCTTCCTCATAGACCCTATCAGTGTTCGACGGCCTCCCAAAAAAGGATGTCGAAAGAACAAAAGATAGGATCCTCCAGCTAGGCCGAATCCAGTAGCGTGCCTTACTCTTCTTGTTCACGAACTCCTTGTCGTCAGATGAGTGCTCCCTCCAGAAAGCTATAGCATCAAAATCTGCGAGAAGACAAAAGGGATCGTCGTAGAACTCAGGCTGCTCGGTCTCCTCCTGGGTGTAGATCCCGAGACGAATAGCCATCTCTCTCACTGTCAACTGAAACGACTGGCCCGCAAGAGTGAAGGCAAACGTGGTATCAGTAGTGATCAAACTATGAGTCATCTGTCGTGACTCAATCTCCGGGACAGCAGATATCGAGCATAAGAACTCGATGGTCAGTGGTAGGCTAGACTCTGCCCTCATCTTAAACAAGCGCTGCCATCTGGTCCCCTCAAGCAGCTCCTCCATCTCCTCTGCATAGCCATAGTCCGTCAGTGTATCCTGAGCCAGACACACCGACTCGTGTAACACCCGTGAGTGTCCCCACTCACCGAACCTCGTCCTAGAAGCAGCATCAATCAGTTGGACCTCATTACGGTCCACAGTAGGGTAAGAAGGACGATGAGGCATCTGCATACACATAAACAAACACATAAAATCTTGCCCCCAAAACTGGTGCGGCAAGTAGAAACTCAAGAACAACAAATAAAATTATTGAATTTATTTAAATATTTTAGTTATTTGAATGACGGGTTGCCTCCCGTTAAGTGCTTCTTTAACGTTCGTAGCTCGACGCTCACCCACTTTTTCCGCGACTTTCCGATCCGAGAGTCATAAAGTTTGGCCCTTCTGACTCTCTTCTGATGCCACCTTGTTTGAATCTTTGCTCGGTCAAGGTCCAGGATCCTTGACTCGTCCCTGCGGCTTGGCGGCAACAGGATAAAAGGAGGAGACTCTAGATAGACGGGCGGTGGCGTAAGTCTCCTTAGTTGATCCACATCGTTGGCCTTCATAGCGTTATTGAATTCTTCCTTGTCTTCAATAGGCTGACTATCTATTTGTGGCTGAATGATTACAACCGTACCTTCCCCCATGAAAGAGTCCTCGTCATCACTTACGAAAAGTTCATCCGAACTCTTTAAGTTCCAACCATCCTTCGGGCAGACATAGTCATACCCGTCAAGTAGGGAATCAAAGAAAGTTTGGTCTGAATCTTCAGATGAAGCATTATGTACACAGGTTTCTATAAGCGGAATTGGCTTTTCCATGCAAAGTAATTCCTCGTCTATAGATTCCTGCTCGGACACTTGGACATTGGTATCTTGGGGGCAGGTAATGGGCTCTATTTCCTCCAGAACAGGTTCCTCTAGAGGAGTGTCTTTAACACAATTAA